GTTCAGACGTGTGCTCTTCCGATCTCCCCAAAACCCCAAAACCCCAGCTTAGACAATAAATGATTTTTACAGGAATTATTTATAATTAGCGATTATCCATACTTGTTAATTATATAATTCAAATGTCTAAAAGCACAAACAATAACATCATAATTTAACTTAATAAAAGCGCTTAGCAAATCCAGAATAATAATACTACAAAAGCAAGCAATGTTGGAAACACTTCCAAGTTCAATCTCAGAGCAGATAGTGAGCAGTAAAATTCATCAGTATATGATGACACTCATTTCAATAGCTCATTTTTCACGATAAGAAATGGAAATAAGCCAAACGAAAAAGTGAAGAAAATTGCATAAAAAGATTAATAAATTACCCCTACTATTCTTGAGAAAAACAACTTTGACAGAGATGCTTATTCAACAATCTAAAATCCAAAGTAAAACAAGTCAGTCAGGAATGAGTATGGATCGCTCTCCTAATTGATGGCAAAATCACAATAAAGATACCTTTAGAGTAGATAAAAAAAGCTAGATCAGAGCACGTTAGGTAACCGTGATGAGAGTTTGGAAGCTAGTAAAAATTCACTTAATAATTTTCTTAAAAATAGAAAGTAACTTTTAAAAAATGAATTAAACTACTAAAGCCTAAACTAAAAGGGACTTAAGCCTAATATGAGCATTCAAAACAGAACATTTACAGCTCAACCAATTGTCCAATCTAATAACAGCAAATTTAATTAAAATACTTATTAATATTCAACAGATACTTAGTCATTCTCGTAACACCTAAGTGAAAATATGAATCTTACCTCCTTCAAATAAAAATTCTTTAACAAAATCAAAAATAAAACGAAGTCCAATACAAATCTAAATGAAGATGTTAATTTAATAAATAGAACATAGAACAGTTCAAATTAAAATGTTTAAAGATTTGAAATACCTCAAATTAAAATTATTAGAAATAGTGAATCTGAGAGTAGCGATTCACCAATTAATATCAAGATAGGTCAAGGTGAATAATTTTTAAATCAAAATAAAAGATCCATAAGGACAAAGTAAAAATTAGAGGACAGCAAACCTATAAAGTAAACTGATAGAAATAAGACTATACACTAACAAAGAAAAGATTCCATTGAGAGTCATAAATCTTCCTAACAGAGCAATCAGTTTTTAGGGCATCCTAATAAAATGAAGAATTTTTACAATCTGGCATAGAAAGTGAAAGATGATATCGTAATAGAAAGAACCAATACTAATGAATCCTCATTGATATCTCATGATGAAAAAGTATTCAGTCCCAAGAAGTACTAGGAGTATAAAGAAAGAGCAGAAAAAATAGTTAAAGATGAGGAGTAATAAGACTAAGATTTGATAGATTAAGAAACCTGGGAGGTGCTATTCCAAATTCAAAAATCAAAATAAGGTCCCTTATAAATTAGGAATAGCATCCGATTTTTCCTCACAAATACAGAGATTCATAAGAGGCTATTAAATAATTAGAAAAATTTTGAAGAAGTCCAAACAGAAGTCTAAGAATACCTTAACAATGTCTCCCCAAAGAGACCTTCGAAAAATATAGATTTGAAAGAGATTCAAAAAATGAGAGACTAGATTTAATCCTAATAGATAGAAAAATTTAAGGAGCAAAAGATTGAGGAACTTAAGTTGAAGTATTAGAGTAGCTAGACATATAAGCCAAGTCAAATGATTACAATCAAGGAAGATAGAAAAACCCTGAAAGATCTTAAGATAATTAAAGAGGAGCAATAGTAACAGCATTCATTATCATAGTCATAGGAATCTCGGAAACAAGATTAAACGTTACAAGTAGATAAAAAGGATAAATAGAAGGAACTTAAAATGAAATTAAAACGGCAAGCAATGCAAAAAAATGGTATGAATTTCATTAAGCTAAATGAAATGATCTCAACTCTTAGAGATAGGCTAGGATTCGTTTCTAAGAAATAAAAGATCAAAGAGCTGTTTAAGCAAATTGCAGAGGATATCTATGAAAACAAAAAGGAAAAGAGTAGAATATCTAAATCATCTAGAATCATAAACAGATCTTAGATGGCAGGTGAAGACTCAATATTTTTTAATGACTAGAACAGTAGTTAATCAATAATTAAAAATGATAGAAACTTCTAAACTGTCAATAATTTCTCTAAAAACATTTTAAGCAAAGAGAAATATTCCTTATCTCAAGATCCCAAATATAATACAATAACTGAACCTAAATTTAACATACGCCTTGAGAAGGCTTAACAGAGCACCTCTTCCTACGGCCACTAATCCTGCAAGCTTAAGTATAATGAATCTCTCAAAGCTTACAGTCAAGCAAACATAAAATTAGAATAATCCAACTCAATTAAAGAGTACTCCTCACAGTTGTTATCTTAGATTCTCCGCAAGACTCCAGATCAAAATGATGACTTTAACAATAATGAGAGTCCTTTAGGTATATTTGATTAACCTAGACCTTCAGACCCCTTGAAACCAGGGAATATAAGTGTTGTGAGAGATATTATGGGCTCTCTGTACTCTGATGAAAAATGGTCTAAAATTGCGAGCAATCCGTAATTCTCTAAAGTTATGGAACTAATGTGTGATTTCTATGGCATGAAAAGTAAAGTTAATAATAAATATGATAATGACCCGAGGTTTTTGCTAGCATAGAAGCAATTCAAAAAATATTTCAAGGAAGAAAATTAGCTTAAGGCTGTGAATACCTTGATTAAACTTCAAACAGATAAGTTAATTAATGAGGAGGATGATGAGGAGAAAAAATCTGTCAAGAAGGAATAGTAATTTAACAAGCTGTTACAAGCAGCTGGAAAGTCTGACGAAATAATTGATAATAACCTTAAGAATCAATCTCAGATCATGAACAGATATTCCAAGTTTCTCAATAAATGCTTTTTTATTGCTCAAGATGATTTCATTAAGAAAAAGTACAAGCAATATATAACAAAAACTGGATAAGCTGGAGGCTAAAATTTCTATAAAAGAATGGAAAAAGATACTTAATTGAGAAAAGAAAAGCAATAACAAACAATATTTGATATGAAGTCAACATATTTTAATTAGAAATCAACAATAGATAAGGCAAGTAATCGTGATTCTAGTACTGATATTGATCAAAAGACTAGTTTTAGAAGGCCTATTATTCCAAAGATTAATAATAAAATGCCCTCTAATCCTTCATTAGTTCCATTTGAATGTAATCATCCTAAAGTTGAATAAGATGATTTATTAATGCCATCTATTGAAGAAACTGATTTATTACTGATGTCAAGATCAAAATCATCGTCAACTTATGCAGGGTCTACAAAATATGGTACAGGTGCTCCTAAAAATGAAATAGCTAGAAATAAATTGTTTGGTGAATTAGCTTTTGAGAGAATAGAGGAGGAAAGAGGAACTTATGAAAGTTTTAAAAAGATTAGACCTTCTAGAATTTAAGGTATAAGTGGTGATTAGATTATTGATTTGAAGATTTAAGATCTTGAATTTAAGATTATGACTAAGAAACGCAAGGATAAAATGAAAAGCTTTTCAGAAAATCGAATATATTGAGACCGATAGAGATTTAATTGATTATAAAACTTTAATATAAGTGTTCAAAAATAGGATTTAATTGGATTTGATTATTTAATTATAATAATTTCCCGATTTATTACCAGACTATAATGCTGGGGTTTTGGGGTTTTGGGG